CCATTTGTTTTTGTCGAACTAGGGGTCCTTGCAGCAACCGAGTCTTGGCCACTCCATCGAAAACAAAGCAGATGGGGATCCCCTTCTGGGTCCCCCAGCCAGTCGTGCCCTTTCTCACCCCTTTTTTTTGGTTGGGAGATTCGGTTCCCCTACTAAAATACACTACAGAAACAAGTTGGTACACTTGTTCTAACCTAGAGGACCTAGCCTTTGCTGGGGGGTTAGGCGCCTAAGGGCCCGAAGACCTCATAGGCGCTGGTCGTTGGTGTGACCGAATGGCCTTTTCTCACCTCAGTTCCGTTTCGGGCTTTAGCTTTGGTGCATGTTGCTTGGATGTTAGGACTTTAACTTTTTGCCAACTAATGGGGTTTCAATTAAACCACTGAAAGTCACACTTTTAGCAGGGGAGCAGAAAGCAACCGAGTTTGGGTTTGGACCATATGAGTGGTAAATAAGCAGTTTGGACTTTTCACGGCCATTCCACTCAGGAAGTGAGTTCGGACCTGTTGGAAACAGATGGTTAGACTTTCTGTTCAGGGGGAACGGCAGCCCAGTTTGAAGTGACGCAGTAGTCATAAAGGTCACAGAACGGTTTTGATCAATCAATCTGCCCGAGCAAATCAGTTGTCAAGGTAAACTCAAGCCGAATGATTGGCCTCTCCCAAACATCATATTCAAGCCGCCTTGAAAGCATAAGATTTGCGTGCCCCAAACTTTGCGTCTCAAACACATGAGGAATCGAACGCGCAAGCGGCCTTGACTGCAGTGATCTGGTTGCATTAACCTGGGCGAGGCTTTCGCAAGTGTTTTCCAAGGGGTTGACCTCAGGTTGCTGCAGACTGCAGACTCTTTGGTGGATTGGAGCCTGCTGGTTCATATTTGGATTTGAACGGGCCCCTGGTTCTTGTACAGGGTAGCTGCAAAGCCACCCCATAACCTCCAAACCATCGATCCAAACCACCAATAAAAGGGCAGAAGCTGATACTGATTGGAACCAGCTCACTGATCGGCGACGATCCCCTACTTGGAGATTCCTGACTTGCGGTTTGTGAGTGATGCGTGGCCGGTATGTCATGTTGCCGCAAAAATGCACATATCACATATAGAACAAGACCTTCAGCCGTTGCGTCGCCCCGCGAAAACACGCGGAGCTTCTGAGTGCTTTGCCTGCTTCAAGACAACAAAACGTTGGTTGGTTCCGAACCCCGGGGGCCAAACGGCCACAAAGCGGATGGACAGATGAGTCGTTCCCCCTCACTCCAACGCAACACGGACTTGAGTCGCTTGGGCTTGGCCATTTTGTGGCGCCTGGGCTCCAAAAAACTACCCATAAAGCAGAGAATGCGACCATTCGCTTCTCACTTCCTGAGTTCATGAACTTTAAACTTTTTGGGAAGACCACTTTAGTGGTATATATAAAGTGTGGACTTTTTTTGGGCCATCCACTCAGCCAGTGAGCTCAGGTGGAATTCCCCATGCCCCTGTAAAGTTGCTTTCTCTGGGCACTCGATCGGAAGTGAGTTACCCTTGCAAGCCAGAAGTTGGGGAGCCAACTGGACGTTGCCCATGGATCCATGCTTGAGGCCACCGCTTTGAACATGTCTCCCTCTATCCCGCAGAAACAGGAAACAACAGATACAAGCAAGCAGAAAGACAGTCAATCAAACAATCAAGCGACAACAAACACACACACACAAACACCCAAACCAGAATCACAGGAATATGTTTTTTTCACCAGATCCCCGTTTCACTACCTAGGCCTCCCCAACATGGTTGTTGTTGGGAAACATTTTGCATTTTTGCTTATCGTGATTTAGTGGTGGAAATCCAACCACTTAACTGCTAAAGTTGAAAAATGTTTGCTCCCTTTCCAACGTCAACCACGTCAAGGGCAGCAGTCAACCACCGTCCCTCCCGCGCGGTTTTCACGCGGGGATTTAGCTTTCCGCGGAAGCGATAGCCAAGCCGCTGCACGCCTGCGGGTCTGCGAAGTATTCTTAAGCCACAGCTTGACAAGGTCCAGGTTTGACCTGCTTGACAGCTTCCCCAGAGTTCGCTCCCCATGTTGTTTTTGTTGGGGCCTTTTTGGGGGTCCGCTTTGTTTTCCACTAGCCAACAACATATAGTTCTTTGCTGGGAATTAGGACCCAGCCAAGTTCTAGGGGTTGATTCCTTTTCCATTTGTTCAACCAGCTTCTTTTCAAAAACCAGCCATTTTCTTTGTCAGGTTTCCGCAGGCTTTCGAGAAAGAAGGATCCCTGGAAAGACTTGGGGAAGGTACCCTTAGAGCTTTGCAGTTGCCCAGTGGATTCCGCCAACCTTGTTCAACTTTTTTGGGGAAGGGGTTCCAATTCCCTGAAATTAAGCTCAACCCACCAAAGAAGGAAGTCGCATCCTTTTTTCTCCCCATGGAAATCCACTCATTTGAGAAGGCCAAGGCCAAAGACGACTCTCTGCCGAGCGAAAAAAGGTTTGTAGGTCCTCTACTTGGGGATTGTTGATCGCGGGGTTCGGACATAACACACATGCAGACCAATATGATATGACACCCCTGTTGAAGGAATGTCAGAAGAGGCTCATAAAAACAAGCCATTCAGTTCAGCAAATGGAAGTATACCTTGGGTGCTACGTACTGTGGATGGTTGCGAAATCCATTTCGCACCACCGTTCAGAAACCCTGGAATGATTCGATTACCCTGTAATTAAATACCAACAAACAATGGCTTCCCATGGTTTCAAATTGGTTCGAAATGGATTTGTCCATCCACGGGAGTGACGCCCCTGTTGAAGGAATGTTTGATCGGATTTAAATTCATGATGATCATGGGCACTTAGCACCCAACCAGTCGACGTTTCCAGACACGATGCCTCCCTCCCAGGGCTACTCACAAGGCTACTCATCCTTCAGCGTTTCATCCTTGATTCAGAGAGTCCACTGTCACGCTGTTGCCCGGCAATTCGAACGCAACCATCGGCTGCGCGTTCCAAGCGACGAAGGCTGATTGTATGGATCCATATATGAACTTATGGCCATTTGAGGCCCCCTTGACCGAATTCCCGTATAAGTGATCCATAGTCAGCCTTTGAAAGCAAGTCCTCGTGCCCAAAATCCGTGCTGGTGGCCGGGCGTTTGTTTCGATCCATGCGGAACTGCACATGCTTGATGACATCTTATTTCGAGGTAAGGTTCGAAGTCTAACTAGCTGTTATACCAGGAAGAGGGGGTGATCGCTTGACGCGCTGGTTAACTGTCAAGCGCGCTGGTCAACGAATGGCGCGTCCGTTTGCAGGGCATTTCTGACTTCCCCTGCTCCTTTACTTCCATGTTCGTGTCAGAATGTGATTGTTTTCCGGTTTGAAGGGAATCCACGGAATCCATCACTACTGGAACTAGTGCGGACGCAAGGAGTGCCCTTGACATGAACGTTTTGTGTCAGCAAAAGGGATTAGCATCAATCCACGCCCAGAACCCCCGCGGTTTCCTCTACACGAGCCATACTTTCCCTGAGCAAGTCTTGAGGCATACTGAACAGGGTCCAGGTGGTTCTACTTTGGCCCCAAAATATCCGCCAACTCTCTCCCTCTCATAAGAACAGAAAGCAACCGCACACTGTTTGTCAATTATGGTTTGGAGTTGTGGCTTGGCCCCTGGCTCTTGTTGAGGATAAATGGGAGACCGCCACACCAAACCACTGGGCTCCAAACCATCAGCTAGGGGGAAGCTCAGGTAATTCTCTTCGTCTATGCTGAGAAGATTGGTGTACACCATGTGCTGAGAAGAGAAGATTTGTGGAACATGTTCCCCTAAGGAATTATGGAGACTTCCCTGAAGGAAGTTTCGGCTCGCTCCCTGAGTTCCGGTTCGGACTTTCGTGCCCTCCGCTGGGCCCTCCATCCGGAATCCGAAGGCCCGGAGCGGCTCGGAGCGGGGGATGGGAGGGGCTTGCTGTGGATGCGAGCCTCTCAAGGAACATTCAACCTGCAGATTCAAAGGAAGAACTCCTTCCTTTGGCCGGGCTTTGACCGAATCCTCTCAGACTTAGCTTCCTTTCGGAAAAAGCACGGGCTTTCCATACCTACAAAAGCTTCGCTGTTCTTGGCATGTTTTTGGTTTTTAGTTTTTTGGTTCTGTTCATTTTTACTGGGGGTCTGCAAAAAACAAAGTTTTTTTGCTACCATACCAAGAGTAGAGATGAACGGTTGCTCAGCAGGGGGAAGCAAATAAAGGGGTCGATCAGCATTCCTGACCCCATAAATGACCATTGTTTTGTCACTAGGCCCCCCAGTCGTGCCCCTTTATCCCGTTTTTTTGCTGGGAGGGTTCCCCTACTAAAATAGACTACAGAAAAAATGGTACCCTTATTCTAACCTCTCTACTGGAGGACATAGGTTAAGCTCTCCTTCTTTGTCTCATGCAACAGACCTGATTAATAACCCCCCCCCCCCCCGCCAAGGTCGACCATGTGTTGATTGGCGCCTTTGAAGTGGTACTGTGGATGGACGAACTACCTGAGAAACCCTGGAATGAGTGGATTCCCCAACGTAAACACCAAGAAACACTGTGGCTTCAACCATGGTTTCATTTCGCGGTGCCAAATGGATGTCGTAACCATCCACGGTATTTGTAGAATTTAATTCCCCATTCTGTTCAACTATCCTTCTTTTCACAAACCAAGCCCACTGTTTGTTCCTGGGTTTTTGAATGATGATGGTTTCCTGGAAAGACAAAGTTTTGGATTCAGAAGGGTTGAACGCTGCCCCTAGAAAGGGTTGCTTCCATGTGCTTGTAAGAATATGTGTTATTTTCCCCTGGTTGGCTTTAAAGGGAATCAATTCATCACTACTTGATGTTGTTAAAACAGGAGCCATTTGAAAGCAGTTGCTATCAATACCCTGGCAAAAAAGTGGGTGTTTGCTTATGTGTCAAAGTAGTGGGAGCCTGAAACTGGCTGCTTATTCGCTGGCAGTCGACCCGCTGGGAGATTTTTGGCGCATTCGAGGTCCGCGAGGCTGAGGAGTTGCTGGCGAAGCTGCTGCAGGCGCGGGGTGGCGGGGTGGCGGGGTGGCGGGGGATGCTTTAACTAGGTTCCCAGTAGTGCCCTTTTACCCCTTTTTGTGGTTGGGAGGGGAACCCCCTACTAAAGTAGACTACAGAAAAAAGTTGGTACCATTGTTCTGCCTCTCTACTGGAGGACCTAGTATTTCACGCAGTCCGTTGGATCCAGGGAGGTTGGTTCAGGGTAGCCCCGTTTTCTGGTTGACTTGAACATTTATCAAAAGGGAAACCAACATGAAGCACATCATTTTGCACCTGTTGATTTTTAGATGGAAGGCTTTGCCTCGAATATGGAGGTGAGCCACAAACCAACAGCTGGGTTATTTGGGTTCACTAGAAACCGATCGGAGTCCGGTCGTTATTCGTCCAAACCAAACACATCCCAACTAGTGTTGTGAGTCATAGAGCTGGGACCCCGATATCCAAATTAGCTTTTCAGGAGCCTTTCGGTCGGAGATCGGAGTTCTGGTTGGGGACTTGGTAGCGTTTCCCAAACCACAGTTCAGGTGTTGTTGCTCCTGGACTTCCGTCTGACATGCACATGTTGTATGTTCCCCAGTTGGTCTTTGGAAGGGATCTATGACTACTGGACATGTTTGTTTGTTTTTTTTTGCCCAAAAAACTTCATCAAAGCAGACGACTTAATTTGCCAAAGCACTTATGAACATGTTGTTTGAAGCAAAACTGAATTTGGGGGTTGCTTTATGCCTGGGTTTCCTCCATTTCCCTTGTTGGAACCTGCAAAAGGGAGCCCTCCAGAAGCTGGTCGCGTCAGGAGCCGCCGATCGAAGCGTACGACGGCTTGCCGCGATCTCGGAGGACGTGCCTCAAAATATGATTATTGTCAACCGGCCGTGCTGTCCCTTGGGTTGTTTAGGTGTTTAGTGTTAGTTTGGTGGCTGGGTGTCCGATTTTAACCCACAAGTTAAACTTTTGGCAGGGGATCTGAGGACAGCCAAGTTTGGCATGACTTTGTATGAACATTCAGCTGTTGAATCCTTGGAATTTCTTTGCTGTTTGTTTGGACAATGAGTATTTCGCCCACTAACCAGTGCACGTTGCCATGGAACCCATCAGGGGTTGCTTAGAAAGGAAAAATGGTCCAAGGACCCTCCTGTGAGGTTCCGGCTGTCGCGTGGATTGTGTGAAAGGCTCAACCTTTTGAGGGTCGACCAACCGAAAAACTCTGGTCGAATCCGAAGCCTGGTTCGCCTGTGGAATTCTTGGTCCACGAAAAAAGTGTACAGCCAGCTGGTGGTTGGAAGGGAACCGTTGCTGAGCTGGAATCCGGTATCCAAGTTTGCCTACGAGGGAGCTTTTGGAGCAACCAATCGGACTCCTGTATGACAGAAAAGAAATTCAAACGCGCTACCATCCTTCTGACTTCAGATGAGTTCCGTTTCGGACTTTAGCGACTTTTTGGGAGCACAACTTTAGTGGAAAACCACAAAATCGGACTTTTCTGGCCAAATCCACTCAAGAATAGTCCACTAAGGAAGTGAGCCTTTGAACAACTATGGAAGCGCGCAAGGGGTGGGAAGATCAACATTGCTTAAAACAACTCACTTCATTGGGTGGAAAACCCCACTTTTATTGGTTAGGTTCAAAGATCAAGAACTTTACTTGGGTTGAAAACCCCACTTCCACTTCCATGAGAGGGTCTTGCGTGCCATATGTCGCCTGGGGAGCAGGGGTCCATCGGGGGTTAGGCTCTGCCAAGGACCCCGTTGCCGGTTTGGATCGCTGCAGCCACCCTTCCTTACATGTGCCGTGTTGGGTGCTTTAAGCATCACCTGTTGGTTATCAATTCTATCCTGGAACCGGGAGGGTCCGTTGAGGAAATGGTCCAAACCATCCCTCAATTCTTTTTCCCTGTTTAGTGGATGGTAAAGATTTGTTTTGGTTGACGTAAGGTATCAGGAAACTCACTTCCTGAGTTCCTGAACTATTTTTTGTTGTTTGGGGAATACCGTTTTGGTGGTAAACATAGAAAGTTCAGACTTTTGTTTGGCCCATCCACTCGGGAAGTGAGGAAAAGGAACACATCCCGCCCGGTCAAATGCCTCTCACCTGGTGCCTTGCGCCCGAGGTTCGACAGTATCGGCGGCCTCTTTATGAGGCGCGCGAGGGTCGCGCGCTGGATAGTGTTGTTCGCAACCGGGTTCTTTGATTTAAGGTTGTTCTTGAGGTTCAGATCTTCTGGCGGTTTTAAAGGGAATCGATTTCACTACCGGAAATATATTAATATGTTCATTGCTTCCTTTTGACTTCAGCAGATGGAGGACTCAGACTCAGGAGATCTTTCTCTTTTCAACCATTCTTTTCGCCGCGCTGCCAGGAAATGTATCAGAGTATAGTGGCCAAAGTCCGACAACCCTTGTAGCCCTCACTTCCCCAAAGCCCCCTGTTGACCTTTCAGTTCTTTTGGTCCATGACATGGCCCTAAAAGCTGAACCTTTCACTTCTTGGGTCCTTTGGGCAACGAAGAGCAAGTCTTTTGGCGGATCGCGCCAACTCCGCCGAGCCATGTTGTCCATGAAAGCGACAACCTTACCCTCCAAAAGAGGGCTGAAAGGGAACATTTTGACCACCCCTCGTTCAAGGACCCGGACGTGTTAAACCCAAAGCCGACAAAAATGCGAAAATATCCGGATGTTTTCCCTTCAACCTGACCATCTAGCTGGCGGTCGAGTTGCCTTTAAACACTGAAAGGTCAAAAAGGGGGCTTTGGGGAAGTGAGGGCTACAAGGGTTGTGGGACTTTGGCAACTACTCTACGTCTACGTTTCCTGGCGCAGCGGAAATTAACCCTCGATTTGCTGCAAGTTCGAAGGGCAAGCTCCCCATCATTCCCAGGAAGGGAGCACTTCTTAGCTACCGGTGAGGGACATGCTAGGTCTCCAAAAGTTTCACCTGTGATTTTTGGTCCTTGGGAGTGGCTGTGGGTCAAAACCAATGGTACCATTTGCGAGACCTGCTCGACGATGCCGGAGAGAGAGATTTGGGGGTTTTCGGTGCACCACCCATTTTCGAACCTATTTTAGTGGTTGGATTGGGATGTTCCCTGGGACGGGCTTTTTGACCCATGGCCAAGTGAGGCACCTGGATACAGAGAGAGTCTGGCTCCCAGCCACCCGATTCAACTTTTGTAGCTGTTTACTATTGTTCCCCTTTTTACTTTTTGCTTTTTTGGGGTTCCCTTTGTTTTCCACGAACCAGGCAACATTTTGTTTTTTTGCTGGGGTCCTAATTCCAGCCAAGTCTATTTGTGAAAGGTGATAGGGTTCCCGAATTTAACCCACACGTTCAACTGTTAGCAGAGGCAGGAGCACCGGGCGCCAGGTCGAAGGTCCGATTTTTCGCGCCCAAATCGAGGCACCAAGGCTGCGGCGTGGAGTCCGGGGAGCCGTTCCTGGAGCTCTTGGCCAAGTCCCTGGAGGCTCCGAGTCGCGTGGAGTTTGCGGGGGAGCAGAAGCGAGTGGCAGATTGCAGTGCCTAGGTGCCCCAGCTAGGTGCCCTTTTACCAACTTTTGTGGTTGGGAGGGTTCCCCTGCCAAAATAGACTGCAGCAAAAAAAGTTGGTACCCTTATTCTAAGCTCTCTACTGGAGGACCTGGTTGCTAGTGGCTCCCAACTGAGGGTTTTGAGTTGTCTCTCGGTTTTGTGGGGGTTCAAGCAGGGCCTTGAGCCGGATCGTTCCCAGCCATCCGGTCCCGTAGGCGTTTTACTTGTCTCTAGTTGGTTGAGTGGTTGGGTTTCATATTCAGCCCACAAGTTGAACTTTTAGGGGATCTGAGGGCAGCCCAGGATATGTTTGAGTGACAGATAACTCTTGCTATGCTGGTGGTTGGAAAGCCGCACAAAGGGAGCTGGGTATTCAAATTGCCTTTCGGAGCTACCAGGAGTCCTGTCAGGACTGGTAAATTTGAGTGCAAGGATATCAATTTGCTTTGCGCCGGCAAGCAAGTTTGGTATATTGCTCTTTTTGTTTAAAGTATCGTCAAGATGGGCATGGGAGGATATCTCACCATGGCGATTCATGGCGATTATGAGGTATGTACCCACCACATCGCAACCAGGTCAGCCTCAAGAAGTAGGGGCCCACACGCCGAGCGGTCGTTGAGTAAACCCGCATTCCTTTGGTGGCCTTTTCCTCAGGAAGTAGATGCAAAGTAGGGGCCACTCAGACGGATTGTGTCCTTATTTGTCCTGGTTTGGGAGTAGTGGCAAGCATTTTAGATGTCTGTTTGATCTTGGGGTTCTGTCAATGGCAATGCTAAGCTTACACCTCCTCCAGAACCACCTTTTTTCCTCCAAATAAGAACTTATTCGGGTGTGCCTGGAGTCGGGGAGCGCAGGGGGGGCAGGGGAGGCTAGGGTTGGATTTATAAACTGGTGGTTTGCATTGGCTGCGTCAGTTTTGCTGAGAATCAGGCGTGCTTCAAAAGTCTAAGGAGCCCAATTGCGCCTGTGCAAGTGAAAGGCCAGCAAGCACGGATGTGTGTAATGTTTTAGCTCTAGTAGCTTTAGCTGGGAGTTGAGTAATGAAGCAGACACTGAACATGCTTTTCTTTTTTTTTTCACTATTCCTGGCCACCTAAATGATCATGGGTGTATGTCCCATTTAGTGGTAAAAGTCATCTTTTCAGTTGTTTTGCCCACTGGTCATCCCATGCAAAAGGACCTGTTGGTCAACCCCCAGCTTTGGCTAGGTCCCCCAGTTGTGCCCTTTTTACCCAAATAGACAAAAATACCCTTATTCTAACCTCTCTACTGGAGGACCTAGCCAGTTAACATCAATAACAGGCTCAGGGTATTCACAGGCGCCATCCATAGAAACTGCTCAGTATTGAATAAGCTCGCTTGGGCCAATCCAAAAGGCAGACGCGGAGGCGTCCTTATGCCGCGGATCCTTTCCAGAAGCACGAACCTCAAACCAGCTGAAACGAGACCTTTTCGAAGGCAGACGGCATCTGCCCCTCTCGCGCCCAGCGCCACCGCGCCACCGCGCCAGGCCAGGGCAAAGGTTTGGCCGCTGCTGCGCTGGTACAACTAGGCGCTGGAACATTTGCGGAGGATTTCTGATTTTTGCGAGGGGGGCCACGGTTTGTGTTCATAAGTGTCCTTTTTGGTTGGTTTGGTTGAAAAATCGATGGGTTTCGATTCCTGGTTTACCTGGTGGTTTAATCATCTACCAGGGAAACCCATCTATTTCCCCTAAAGGACACTTGTGTTTTTGTTGGTGGAAGGGGAACCCAAAAGGAAACTACTTGAGCCTGTTATGTGCCCCTGGCTTGAAAGGAAATCGATTTCAATACGCCAAGGGAACCATCGCTGTCTAGGTTTTTTTGTTCACTTCATGCTTCCTCTTGAAGGGAAGCATGTTTTGCCGATCTCTTGGCTGACGGCCGTGACCGAGTCGCCCCCAAAAGGAGAGACCGGTTTGTTGGAGTACCTTTTTTGGGAGGTCAGGGTCAGTGAGGGAAAACCATTCCTGGTTGAAGGGGAAAACGAACGGACACCACGTATTAGAAGCCCTGGCTTCTTTGCAAGACGTCCTCCATGTGCGTTTCAGAATGGATTGTTGTTGTTTTTTTGTTGGTTCAAACGGAATCGAATTGCTTCCCCCCTTCAAACAAGAGTCGCCGTGTACTTTTTGATGGCGCCCTGTTCTCAAGAGGAAGCCACCCATTACTTAGGGAACCCCTCAGGTCGTTTGCTCAAGGGAACCCGTCAGGTCGCTGGTTTGGATTTGGATACCCCGTGTGCTTGTACAGCGTAAATGGGAAACCATCCCACCACCGAGCCGCAAATGCAAACCACCTAGAGGAAAACCGAGAAGATGTTGTAGCTTCCTTTGTTGGCTTAAGGGGATTGATTAAAGGGATTGAGTCCACTTCTGGAGCTTGTTTTTCATTGTCTTCGAATGCCTGAGTTGTTGTATGTGGGTTGTAAGTTGTTGCACGGTTTTGCGGAGGGTAGGGACCCAGCGAGGGTGAAATCACCACCCCTGATGCGATAGCCAGTAGATTCAGTAAGGCCCTCAGAAGGCCTACCCTTTAGTGTTCCACCTGGCTGAAGTGCCAGATGCCATGATTCAGGTAGCCCTTAGTTGGTGGTGCTTTGGATTTGGATTTGCACCCCTGGCTTTTGTGGAGGGTAAATGGGATGACGCCCCTTAAGGAAACCACCAATCCAAACCACCGAGCTGAATGAGCGTAGGCGCATTGTGCGGTTGCTTTGGGCGTTTCAAGCAGAATGATCATCAGGGGCTTGTTTGGAGGTGGAGGGATGTGGGCGCAATGCAAAATGCAAGCAACACAGGCCCACAACAGGAATGGTTGTGTCTTTTGTTAAGGTTGCTATTTCGTGGTTGTGTTTAAAGGGGAAACCACAAGGAGCTCAACCACTTTTGGGTCCCACTTAGGCATACCCTGCCTCAAGATGGTTGCTTGAATCGCCGGCTTACCTTCTGACCGATGAGATAGCCCACGTCGAAGCCTGACGCGGTGAAATCCATTTCGTACCACCCAAGAAACCCTGGTTTGGTTGCTGATGACTCCCATAGAAGTGACTACTGACTTCTTAGGTGGTGTGAAATCCATTTCGTATCACTTAGCTTGATGGCTCCCAGCCATCCGGTTCAACTTAGCTTATTAGCTTTTTAGCTGGTTTGGTGGGGGTTGTAGTTGACCCACTAGCACTTGAGCTTTTAGCAGGGGATCTGAGGACAGCCCAAATAAGAATCCCTGGAACGATGATTCCCATGCAACTGCCAACCAACAATGGGTTCAACCAGGATTTTTATTTGTGTAATTTAGGGCTTCCAGCCGGTTTGAGGCCCCAAAGGACCTTAAAGCTGCATCTATGGACATACATAAATGCATACCTACTGTAGATACATATACATCACTACACACATATATGCATGTACCATATGTACATATACGCGTGTATGTATGTATGTATGTATGTGTATACGTACCGTAGGCCTTTGAACTGGTGAAAGCCAGCAACCAAGCCCCGGTCCAGTGCCCTTTGGAACCACACAGATCATGCTGCCAGGCCAAAGGCGCCGCAGCGGCGGGCACCGATGAGAAGCGCGCGGAAGCAAAACGGGGTCTCGGTTGTCGATCGAGGCAGGAGGCGGGGGCTCTATCCCAGAAAAGCCTACTGGGTCCCCCAGTAGTGCCCTTTTTCCCTTTTTGGGGGAGGGCTCCCCCACTAAAATACACTAGAGAAAAACGGTACCCTCAATTATTGTAACCTCTCTACTGGAGGACCTAGCCTAGAAATGAACAAATCACATACTGTGGATGGTTGCGAGCGAAATGCATTTCGCACCACCGAAGAAACCCTGGAATAATTCAATTCCCCTGCAAATACCAACGGACAATGGTGTTAACAAGACATCTACCAATGCACGATGTCCTTTTTGGGGCTAGGTTTTTGGGACCTGCAGATCTTCCCCGAAGGGACCGCGACGTCAACTGGTAAGGCATCATGTGTCCGGGCCATAAGAAAGGCTTCATCACCGGCGTTGAAGGGTGGTCTAGACCCCGAAGCACAACATGTGCAAAGGCCTTATATAGGACTTGTCCACGCCTGATTTTTTCCTGAAACTTGGTTTTTGGGTTTTTACTTGTAGCAGGGGCCCGGGGGCGAAACGTTGTAAGGAAGTGATTCTGCTTCGCTTGCTGTGAAAGTGTTGTTGATGGATTCAGGTGGAGCATTGAGTCGTGACTGACTATTCAGGCCCTCTCTTTGGGAAGCACTATGGGTAGTGAGTGGTCAGGGGCACAACCCCAAGTCCATGCCACTACTTCACACGCGGCGCTCAGCAATACTTGGCTTGCGACACTGCACGTCTTGTTGAATGACTCGGCTCAAGTGGGTCTATGGAGGCTTCAGGGCGCTTGGCGAGCAGGCGTTATCTATACTTCACTGTTCTTGGATCACGTTTTTAGTTGTTAGTTTTTGTTTGCTTTGGTGCAGTTTGCTTGGATGTTCGGACTTTAACTTTTGCCAACTCATGGGTTTTCCATGAAACCACTAAAAGTGAAGCTTTTAGCAGGGGAGCGGAAAGCAACCGAGTTTAGTTCTATTCATTTTTTTAGTAGGTGGCTGCAACAAAGTTGTTTGCAACCATACCAAGGGTTGTGAAATATAAATGGTCCAACGACTCGTTTGCTTCACGCGGTACTGGCTCCTGCACGTGCAGCGTGAAGAAAAGGTTTGTGTTTTTGCCTCGGGTTGCCAACGGACTTCATGCGATGACGGGCCAGCCACAAAGAAATACTCTTGGGTGATGGCCAGGCCAAACCAAACATACCAAAAGACACCCTCCCACCAATCAGAATAGAACCTGACTGCGGGGTCCTGGAAGATCATTTTTCCGTTTAAAGGGGGTTCCATGCTAAGTGGTGAGAGGGTACACAAAATGCGCAAACTTACAAAATAACCTGCGGAAGTTTGCTGCTTTTGCGCTTGTGTATTGTGTGCACACGCCTCCGGGTCTAGCGGGGGACTCCGGCGCCATGTGCGCTGCAGCGAAGCAAGCTGGAGATGCCGCCGTCAGCAAGAAGGACCTGAAGTCACGCGAAGATCTCCTCCTAGAACTTCCATTGGCTGAAATGAATGTATTTGTTTCCAACCACCTGGACATTCCTTTGCGTACCTTTTTCCCGGACGTTTCACGATTTGTGGTGTTTTGGGCGATTTAGGCGTTTTGCGCGGATGTGCGGTTTTGCCGGATGTTGTTCGGCTTGCTGCGGGTGTTGTGCGGCCATTTGCGGGCGTTGTTCCTTGCTTTAGCGTTTGCGGGAGTTTGCGGGCGTTTGCGTTGCAAACTGAGGCACGAAAGAAACAAGTTCTCGTTGGAGTGTCCTCGCAGCGATTTGTTTTCTTAGGAAGCCGATTTCGCTACTGGAACTGTTTTGCATTTATCCCTGGAGACTTGAGCAAACGTAAATTTTCGGGTGGGCGAAATATGAAACAGAGAACATTGTGTTTTCTGTGTGTCCCAGATGTGGGTCACGTAGCCTGACTTGCGCCAAGACATGCTTGCCCAGTCTTGGCCTAGTCAGGATTTACGAAACGTTCGCCGTGTATGTCCAGAGGTGAGTATATAAGAGATTTGGCCTGGACATTCCTTCCTTTGTCATGTCTCATTCAACCCCTTTAGTTTGTAGTCCCATGGGCAGGAAAAACGGAGGCAGTCCGCAATCACAAGGGGTCTCAGAAGCGGAGATCTTGATTATATGGATGGATCGTTTAAAAAAACAAAAAGAAAAAAACGGCTTAAGGCAACCAAGTTGTGCCGTTTGGCACCTTTTTGCACAATAAATACTACTATGACCGTCTTGTTCGGCGGTCGCTGAAGGAGTGGGCCGGTGGGAGGATCTCGGCGTTCCGTCGAGTTTGCCTTTTGTGCCACCGAAAAGGGGCACCCTCAAGAGAAGATCGCTCGGTATGGCCAGGTCCTGGTTCATATCTAGTCTACCCTCAACTAAATAACTTCGTTTCGGAGGAGATCCCAGCTTAAGGTAATTCATTTCCAGAGGGTCCAAGTGCCTTCCAAGGAGGTACTTAGACCCTTTTTCACCCAACGGAAGCCATCCTCAGGGGGTACTTGGACCCTCTGGGCCTCTGGGATTTTCGCTGTCCGAAAGTCCAAGGACGAGCCAAAGGGCCGCGGATTGCGAGCGAACGGCGCCAGGACTTCCAGGAGGCCGTCCGGTGCTACACGGAGGCCCTGCGAAAGTCGGAGCCGCCGGAGCCGTCGGAGCTCTGCGCGGCGCTCTTCTGCCCCTCGCCGTTGAAGCCGTGGGGTGTGTGGCAGTGGCTTTGGTGCATGTTGCTTGGATGTTGGGACTTTAACTTTTTGCCAACTATAATGGGTTTTCCGTATTAAACCATTAAAAGTCAAACTTCTAGCAGGGGAGCAGAAAGCAAGCGAGGTGGTTTTGGGGGCTTAAGGGCAACCCCGGATGAGTAAACCGCAGTTTATTAATAGGGGATTCTTCACTATGGGACACCCCACGCTATTTGTAGGATAGGCTTAGTGCTGTGGGGTCAACATGAAACCCCAAACCTGCGGTTTAATCCTTGAAACAACTCCAATAGAGCCAACCCTCAGGTAAACCCTAGTTGGTGGTTTGGATTGGTGGTTTGGGGTATAAACCCCTGATAGTTGTGTAGAGAACAGATGGGAAGCCACTCCGGAACACCCCCAAACCACTAGAGGGATCGGGAGCTTGGATGAACCGTTGAAAGAGCGGTCAGTATCCCCAGTTGAGCCCCCGTTCAGTGGGTGGGGCAAATTCCATTTGGAATGATCAACTACCAAGGGCTTGGCCCTAAACCCAACCCAAACTCCAACTCACTTTCAGGTCCCTTCCGTTAACTTGCTGGGAAAATCCAACGGGCTTATTCACTGAGGACACGTTCTTCCACCTGCCTGACGTTCACCTTGTATTTCCCGCTCCTTTCAGGGCAAGTAAGGTAGCTTAGAACACATGTCCCCCGCTTCGCTTTGAGCTTCGGTCGCTGACTGATCGAGGCAACCGGGCGTTGGCATATCTGGAGTTGGAGAAGTGGAACGAGGCTGAGGAGGAGAGTCGACAACTCCGTGCAGTGTCCGAAATGTGCCCTGGGATACCCTCATTTGTGTTTAGCTCCTGGGACACACATCCAGTAGTGAAATCGATTCCCTGTAAAACCAACCGGGGAAAACAACCATATTCATTTCAGCAAATGGAAGTGTCATTTTTTCAGAAAAGCCTTTTGTTTCCTGGGTGTTCAAGGGAAACCACAAGGAACACCGATAAATCCATTGGGGATCCAAGTCCTAAAAAGACGGGCCATATGTGCCATGGGCTTTTGAGACTGGTGCCTTTGCTTGGGGTTACAGAAAAAATGGTCACCCTGGCTCGGCCACCTCCAGACGGCACGTTTTTTAATGTTTACATCAATTCACGCTACTCAGCACCAAGCTCAGAGCCAAGAATGGACGAGAGGGATGGTCATCCTGGTAAGGACCCTGATAATATCCATTAATCATTCTTATTGAGGGAGCCATGACCGTAGGTACTGAATGGAGTTGTGACCCCACTTGAAGCTTTTTGGTCCTTCAAAACCACCTACTAAAAGTGGGAAAAAGGGGGTCGCGCCAGGAAGGGTCCTGTATCGGGTGTATCGGGTCTGTTGCACGGTGTGGGGGTTTCCACCAGCATGGCCTTGGACATAGGGATTGAACCGGATCTCGGTGCTTCCCATCTGGTCCTTAGGCTTGTGGTTGGTTTAGCGGGTTTCGACGGTTTCGATTTAGCCCCACAATACGCAAATGGCTCAGTCTTGCCAGTGGTACTCAGGGAATGACCCAGGGTGTGTGTGTGTGTGTGTGTGTGTGTGTTTTTTTTGTTTTTTTTCTCAGGGGGCTTATCATTATCTAAGCAAATGGAAATTCACGCGCCCGGGCAGCTCACGCCACTCCAGGACGCCAGCCGTGTGCTTAGCGACGCCGCAAGCGGCGCCGGCGTTGCCGGCTTCGACGAGCCCAAGCTCCGGGTGAAGGCGCTGTACCGCCGCGGCTTAGCGCGGGAGGCGCTGAAGAAGTGGCAGGAGGCAGGGGGTCTGAGCAATGGCCCTGTGGGAAGCTTCAAGTTTGGAATGGGTCAAAAATACACCACCAGGGGATGACAGGGTCTTAGTCATTGTTTCCATTTACCAGGGTGCCATTTGGGGTACCTATTTTTGACCAACCACCGAAGGTTAGTCACTGTTGGCGGGGGGTTTGGGAACAGCCGCCAGTAAATCCCCTCCCGAGGCCAAGGAGGACCTGAGCCTGGCGCTCAAGGCTTTCGGCCGGGAGTGGAAGCCGCTTCGGTGTGAGGATGCAACGGGCCCAGTTCACGGACCCAGTTCGGGGGTTGCTCCCTGGGGTCCGTTTCGGACTTCGGTCACTTTTGGGGAAGATCAGTTTAGTATAGACATCTTCTGGCCCGTCCACTCAGGATGTGAGGTCATGTTTGATTTGAACAGTGCCACTCCCCTTTTTTGCCTATCACTGTGCATTTGCTCTTCTGGTGTGACAACAAACAACTTGTTACGCAGCTGCAGGAACCCCAAACAGCATTACCCTTTCGCGGGTCTCGCTTTGTTTGGAGGTGCCATCACTCCACAGGCTCGCTTGCTTATTTGGCTTGGCTCTTTGACCCAAGCGCTTCCTAGGCCCCACTGTCTAGTTTCTTTCTTCAATCAGGCCTTAGCTAGGGTCCCCTTCAACATGATGTTCCATTTTAGGGTCGGCCAAATATTATGCAGGATCTGAACACACATTTTGTGCGTCCAGATGTGGTTAAGACAAGGCGTCAAGGTCCCAAAGGCTAATCGAATTGAGACCCTCTAGTTACCACCAAACCAGCGGACTTCCTACCACCAATCAGAGGGAAGCTACTAGGGTCTTCATTTTGCCTGGGGCCATGATTTCGATTGTGGGGGTTGTCAAACAGAAACTGGCTGGTGGCTTCCCATTAAGCTACCGCTGAACGGGGGCGACTGCTTGATAGTGGTGAAATAAAGGGCCAGCTCTGGGAATGGGAGGTTGGGTCCTACTGAATATGGACGCAATCCTGCTCCACCTAAGAAACCCTGGAATGATTCGATCCCCAACGTAAATACCAACAACAAATGGTTTCAACCATGGTTTCTTAGGTGGTGCCAAATGGATTTTGTCCAAGTACTTAGAAACAGACAAGGTCCACAAAAAAATCAGCGCCATTTGGAGCCGGTAGTCATGGGAGATCTACTTCCATTTGTTGAAGAATATGTTTTATTTATTTTCCCCTGTTGGTCTTAAAAGGAATCGATTTCACTACTGGATTTTTTCCCAGGGGTCTTAACCAAATGGAAGTTGTTGAGCGGTTTGTCGATTTGCGTTGCTTTGGGTTTCTCACTCAAACTGACGCCGCGTTCGTGTTCCGGCGGCTTGGGTGAAGTCTATGGGAGATCCCATGAAGCGAAGCCAGGCTGCGCCCGGCAACGCGGGGCTCCAGGCGGCCTGCCGCCGCGTGGCCGCCTGCGTGCCGAGGCCGCGCTACGTGGCGGCCCAGCCGCGGCTCGCTCGGGATCCACGGGAATTCTCGTCGCGGGTTGGTCTCTGCCATGTCTGGCCGTGGTTGTCAAAGCCAATGAGACCCCATTTTGGTTGGTAGGTTCACCACCCATTTTAGGGCCTATTTTAGTCGGGTGGGTCAAAACCAAGGCAAGGACCCAGTTTAGATGATGACAATCCTTAGGTAAACAATGGTGGTTTTATGAACATCTCCATGGTTTAATGGTGCTTCGAACCCCAGAAGGGGGTTCTGGGGGGACTCAAAACCCATGAGATCTCATGTTGGTTGGTAGGTGAATTCACCACCCATATAAATGTGTATTTTAGAGTGGGGATTGAATCGGATGCTCGCTAACAGTACGGGAGTTTGACCCATGGCCATGTTACTTGGTGGCTCCCAGCCATCCGGTTCCTTAACTGTTTAGTTGTTTGGGTTTAGCGGGGGGTTTCCATGTAACCCACAAAAGTTTAGATCTTTTTAGGGCTGAGTTGGGGTTTCAAAATGGATGGCCAATCCTAATCCATAGGAACTTGTGAAGGGGGTGGTTGCAAAGGGAGTGGTTCCTTAAGGCTCCCTAAGCTACCTGCTTATACTCGCTGGTGCGATAGGTATGACCAAGCCAGAATGAACCGGAAGGGGATTCCCGAAAAGGAAGCCACAAGGGATGGTTTGAGGTCATTCCCTCATTCGAAGTCTTTTGGTTCTGACAAGTTACCCGCAAACATGGGACTTAACCGGGTCCTGGCAGACTGTTTGCTTTGAAAGGGACCCGCTGGTGGAACCCCCACGCTCTCACTTCCTGAGTTCCTGGACTGCCGTCACTTTTTGGGAAGACCGTTTCAGCAGCAAATGTGCAGCTTTTTTGGCGCATCCACTCAGGAAGTGAGACATGTGTTATATTCCCTTGCCGGTTGTACATGGAATGAAACCACGACCAGACGTATGCTCTTTATTTTTTCAGAAAGGGACCCTGTGAGCGTTGGGTTTTTGCACAGACCTAATTTTGCTGCATTCTGGCGAAAACCGAAAAAAACTTGAGAAATCTAAAAAAAAGAGAGAAACAGTTCTGGGACAATGTGCTGGGGTCATGCAAACAGTTCTCCACCTTACCCCCCCCCTCCTACAGATGTCAGGCTCCTGTCCAAAACCGAAAACAACATCGAGAAATCGAAAGATTTTGTCCAAAACCGAAAAAAAACCTCAAGAAATAGAAAAAACGATTCCAGGACAATGTGCTGGTATCATGTAAACAGTCTGTTGGCCAGATTTTGTTTTTTCGGTTTTTTTTTTGATTTCTCGAGGGTTCTTTCGGTTTTGGGCAAAATCTTTTGATTTCTCGATGTTTTTTTGATTTTGGATCGTTTCTTTCGAATTCCCGATGTTTTTTTTTTTCCGATTTTGGACACCTTCTTTTGATTTCTCGATGTTTCTTACTTATAAGGTAAGCCCAGCAGGAAGCAGCCAAGATAAGACAATCTGCAGCAAAAGCTTCAACACAGGACAGCTTTGCAAGGAAGAGCTTAGAAGGTTTTCCAAAACCAAACAACAAGAAAACCAAAGGTGTGGCCAGCCCGACAACACAGCTTCAGGTGACAGCAAGCCGCTCATTCTTTGAAACGTTGTAGCTATAACTCCTTTCTTTCTGCAACCGCTCGCCAAGTTGAGAGATCTCTCTGCTAAACTCTCTCTTTCTCCCTCCGCCAGCTGCTCTGGCAAACCTCTTCTGCAATCTTCCAGCCTCTGCGTGCTCATCTTGAACTTTCTCCTTGCAACTGCGCAAGCTTCTGCTTCTGAGGCTAAGCCTCTTCCAGAATCATCTGAATCTCTTGACTAAGCTTCATCTTCTGAAAGGCAAAAAGCTCTTGCTTCTTGGAAGGATCTGTCTCCTTCTTCCTGTTGCTTAACTGCCCACCTGCAGTTCCTCTACGCTCTTCCAGAACTGGAGGCCTGCCACCTTGTCTGCCTGCTTCTCTCTGAAACCGCAGTCTTGTTACAACTTCTTCTGGGTCTTCTTTCTCAAGCTCTGCTAGCTTCTAAAATTAAAGCTAGCTTCTGGAGGTAAGCTGACTTCACTAGTGCAGCTTCTTTCTGCAGCTTGCTCTGCGGCTGCCTCTGGTAGGGAACTACCCTTTTAGATAGCACAGGTTCTATCTCCTTGGCTGCTGCTGAAAGAGTTCTTGGCCCTTCTGGTTGCAAGGCAGAGAGATGCATGGTCAGGGCAGAGCTTTGCAGAAATGAGATGCAAAGGAAAGCTTGGCTGAAAGAAGCTGACTGTGCCCTGCAGAGAAAGACCAAGCTCCAGCAGAGCTCAAAGTATGCAGCTTCTTATGTAGAGAAGCTGATCCAATGGCTAGGTGCAGCTTATTTGAGCAAAGATCAGACTACTCGCCTGGCACCAGTTGAAGAACAGGTGTGGGCCCAGCTCACCTTCCAGGATATTGACAGAAAGCTCTGGCATCTAGGTGCTGCTCCAGTTGCTGAGCTTGAAGATGCACATTTGGTTGCAGATGCAGAGATGATAGTTGAGAACCGATCCTCACTGGTAATCGGCACGAGTGATCAAGTCCCACTTTGGGCCAAAGCTCCAAGCAAGAAGTTGGTCTTCTCAGCAGATGAGCTCAAAGGTGCCAGTTGGGACGACAGAAAGAGGTGGACTGAGATCAGGGAGGAGCTGAAAGCTGCTTAAGTTCAGGCAGCTGCAGAAGGTTGCCACCTTGTCAGTTGGGCAGATGTAGGAGCAGGGCCTCTCAAAGTTGCAGGTAATAAGGTGATGACAGGACAAAGTTCAGATGAAAAGTTTCGTATAACATACGAAGCTCGCCAGAAGATTTACAACATTGGAGCTCCATCAGGAACAGCTCTGCAAGGCGACTACTGCGGCGCAAGGTGGGCATAGGTAGCCATCCACGATCTCCTTGAGATCCTCGTAGGTCATGTCTTCTGCTGCAAGTGCCGTCTTAGCCCAGAGTGGAGGGTGGGACGACTCAGTGCAGGATGCAGATGGATGAGATGCTTTCTAGCTGGCCAAAGTTGCAGCGCAGATCGCGGTCAAGGATATATACACACATAACTGCACACAACCCCCCAATTTGGAAAAGCACTCGTTTCACATGGAAAATACCCACGCTGAGGGGGTCCCCCTCTCTTTTTTTTCTCCTCCAGGGGATTGAAGCAAGTGGACGGCTTGTTTGTGGCAAGTGGACTTGCAACCGTGGTGGGTTGTAAGAAGCTAGTCACTAATACGTACCAAGTACCCCCCCCCCCCATGCCACAGTTTCTGCAATCATTGTTTTGTTGGCGTTTGCGTTTGTTAGGTGGAAAGTAGCAGCTTTCCCCTACTACTCCTTAGGGGGTTTCCCTTTGCTCATGTTCACTGTCTGCCCTTAGATGCTCATGGCCAAAGAGTTGCTCCAGTTTCCTTCCACAATCATGACTGAGTTTGGCTTCACAGTAACCCCCACAAGAAGGGTCTCCTCTTTTAAGGGGTGCTCGTACTTCGTAGCCTGCATGTCTTGGGGATATTTTGTGCGTAAACGTTGCTATCTACTTTTGCCCAAGTGCAACTCAAAAAATATTGGTCGTTTGGGTATGTGTCAAAAAAGCGGATCCCCAAACAGGTGCTTGTCCGTGTGGCTTCTTTCATAGCTAAGGTGAGAAGGCTGAGAAGGTGTAAGCCAAGTTTTCCACCGCGCCACGTCGGTCTTTCCGGGCCTCGCTCAGGTACCACACCGCAGCAGTGCAGAGCCTCGCACACATTGCTGGCGGAGAGGTTGGCTACATGCGACCCGGCCGAGCCGGGGGCGGGGTCTTCGGTTTTTTCCCCTCTCTCCCCCCCAAAAAAAGGAGAAACAATCAAGCAAACCAACGCACCAATAATCATAGCACTACCCTTTTACTCCCGCTGTATACCTCTTACATGTATAGTTTGCCAATTCAGTTTACAGGGCTTATGTACATGTTTGTGTAACATTGATACTTGGTTTCAAGGGAGTACATGATCGGGCACAGCACCTTTGAAACCCCGTAGTCCGGTAGTCATTCCGTTGGCAGGAGTGTACATTTTGCAAGTCTACTTATTCCAAGTTGTCTGGTAGTCTTAAGCGCCTTTGCCAAGTTCTGTTATTTCAGGCATCTCGTGCTTCCAGTCGTTGTGCCCCTGGCTATTATGTTCCTTGGATACGCCACCAGAGGCAAGTCAACCCGGACATCTGCGTGCGCTTTCCCAACGGCATGGCTGTGCAGGCGCTGGGGCGCTGGGCTGGTTGGGCATACGTGGCATGCGCTCACTCAAATGAGGCCGCACTCTTTGCTTCCCTAGTAGTGCCCTTCTATTTAGGGGGTACTAAAATAGACTACAGAGAACTTCCCAGAATCACTTCCCTTTTTTGGCTTTTTTGGGGGTTCCCTTTGTTTTCCACTAGCCAGGCAAGAAAATGCTGGGGTCCTAATTCCAGCCAAGTTTGAACATGCGCTTGGGACCTTGGCTTTTATTCGGTTGGATCGTTAGGCCTTCAACCTTTAAGGAATTGTGTTTTCGCTAGTCACTCACCCACAGAAAGTTAAGCTGTTTGCACTGGGGGCAATAGCCACTTTTAGCACAGGGGTCGTTACAGCAGACGGGTCGTCAGCTAGGAATTGTGTGTTTTTTGGGGTCCCATGTGAATCTGTACGGTTTATAGCTATGAAATTGGTTGGATCATTGAACTTTGCAGTAGCTCTTTGCCACACTTTTTACAGAGGGGTCGTTACAGCAAAGGAAGCCCTTTTTTTCCCACCAACTCCCCAGCGGTCCAAAGCGAGGCGCACGAACGCACCGGCAGCCTGGTGGCCATCCGGGAGCAAGTGACGGCTCACGGGAAACGCCCCGCGCGGCACGTGGAGACGAAGAACCGGGACTTCCATCTGCACCTCGTCTCCCGGGGGTGCCCCGGTCTCGGTACTTGGCACCTGGGGTTATATAATATATACTTGTTTTTGAGTTGCGACAACCCTGACCCTTCGGTTGGTTTGTGATGTTCCAGCCTCTTTGCTGAATTTAGTTTTCCAGCCTCTGGGTTTGTTTGAGGGAATCCATGTCACTGGACATGTTTTTAGGGGTCTAAAGAGCAAATGGGAAGGTTCTGTTTCTCAGGTCGGGGATCTCCTCGACATCACAGAACATGGTCCCAAGGCCAGTTTTTTCTTTGCTGTTCTTGGCATGTGTTTTAGTTGTTTAGTGTTTGGTTCTGTTCATTTTTACTGGGGGTCTGCCAAAAACAAAGTTTTTTGCTACCATACCAAGAGCAGAGATGGTAGTTTTTCTGACTTCCGTTGGAACTGCGCGTCGAGTTGCTGGGTGTGTGCATGTGTTTTAGGCTGGGTAATTCTCCTTTGTGTGGTTGGTTGAAAGCGAAACCAAACGGATTATGAGGCAAGTCTTAAGGCCCTAAGGGTTGGTTCCCCCCTTCCCTTCGCCCATCGTTCTCTTCAGGAACCACCCATTGTCGCTGGGGCTTGGGGCCAAAGGCCCGTTTGAAGAGAAGGACATCGGAAGGTACGGCTAGAGAGTTACAGAGCGTCACTGTTGTTGCATGTCTTGAGGTCTGTAGATTTTTGGATCTGCTCTTTTATAGATAGGGGGCTGCAAAAAGCAGCATGGTTTTGTTACCATGCCTAGGGTGAGAAAGTGAGGAAGCTTCCTAAGGCTAAGGGGACTTTCAAACATAACCACGGAGCATGTTTTAGGATCCGACTCCCTGTGAAGTCTTGGCGGGGCTGAAATCCTAAGAATAGTGGGAGTGTCTGGGCAAAAAAAATGCCAGCTACACAAGGGCTATCTGGGGATTCCAGAAAGAGTTCCTGTTTAAGTTGGTGTGGTTTCGTGGAGCGTTGGATTTGGCGTTATAGGTCAATCCTTCTTGTCAACAGAACAGCTTGAAATGTTGACCAAGGCAGCTCATCCCCCAACCGTGAGGAAACGCGCTACCAGGCCGCTGTTGGTCAGACATGACTTTGCATCCCCCGCAAGTTTCTATCGAGGCGATCACCCAATTATCAGGTCCTTTTGTTTAAAAGATGGGCAAGGCATCCCCCACCTCAACTATGCTGACCCCGGATATTGGGGTGGGGGCCCCTCCAGAAGTGGTCTGATTCCCACATTTCTCCCAGGGATGCCCCCCTGTTGATAAACTGGGGTTGCCCCTGTTCCAACACTCCCCCTTATGAATAAACTGGTTGGTTGATGAATCTGGGGTCAACATTAACCAGGCGCTCCTGGGGCTTCCAATCGAAGACCCAGACCCTCCATTGGACAACACTGAGGGGTTTTGGGGTCTCAAAAACCTGGCCGTTTGAGGGCCCAAAATAATTCGGGAGCGTTTGGGTAAGAAGTTACCATACGTTCACCCAGCACGGTCAGCCGACCCACCGAGTCCTTCACGTCATACCGAGGAGGCCGAACTTCGGGCCGATGGATGGGCTCAACGCTGGGCACTTGAAGCACCGCTCAAGCCAAATGGATCTCCAAAGGGCAGGTTCTTGGCGGGAATGTTTGGCGGTTTTAGCCAAGAACCCACAGGAAAACCACTGTATTATATACATATATATATCTATGTTTAAGGGGCCTATATATTTGGGGGGGGGGCCTAAAAAAGGACACACCCACTAGATTCTCATCTTGGCCTAGACGTAGGGCACAAGTATGCCAAACTAGCCAAGATCAGAGGGTATTCATGGACAGTTGTCCAGATTGTTTCTTCCAGTTTGAAAATTGGGACCTGTTTGTTTCAGACCAAAAACGGCGTAGGAGGCCGGGGCTGAAGGGCTGAAGCGTTGGCCTTTGGACCTCAACATCCAGATTGCACCTTCCTTGGGCTTCGGCTTGTTTCACTGTTTTTCAGGAGGCTTCTGTTGCTTGCTGAGCTACAAGCGCGAAAAACAATTTATGAGACCTGCGAATCATTCCCCAGTCGCTGAGTTGTGTTTTCGGGGTCACTTTTTGAGTTCCGTTTCGGACTTGAGCCACTTGGGGAAACCATTTGAGGGGCGAATGAAGAGTTTGGTGGCCGGTTTGGCCAATCTCGATCCGTATCGAGACATGCAGAAGATCCAGCGATTGAGCCAACCGCTCCGGAGTCGTCAGATACCTCAGTGCCACCCAGTTGCCTCGTCCGCTATGCGGCCTCGCGCCGAGGCCGAATACGACGTGGGCGGCAACCTGGTGCGGCTCTTCTCCAAGTTTGCGGAGGACGGGAGTGGACGAATCCTCCCGTTCCGTTCTGGATGCCAAGTATGCCATGTTTAGTCTCCACAAAACTTGGCGGCTCCCAGCCATGCGGTTCCTTAGCTTTTTGGATCTCAAGTTAGTCACTTTTAGCGGGGGATCAGAAATCGGGCAGCCCAGTTTAATCTCCACAAAAAGAAGCCACACTGGGACTTGGGTGGCATTTTTGAAACTCGCACACAAAGGTTTGTCTTCCGATGGCCTCGGTGGCTTCGGTTGGTGTGTGCTGCCTTGCGTGCCTGAGTTGCCCAAAGCTGGCAATTTGGACCTTAGCCTGGGCGAGTGAGACTAGCTCTGACTGATGGGTTGCATACATTTTAGCATCGGAGTCATCGGAGCGCTGAAGGCTTCAGGGTGAACCCCAAATTAGCAGCAGTTGAGAGATACACGAGGAATTAAACAACTCTATCTACTTGGGTCCAGGAGTCAGGGGTCTAGGAGCCTATAAGGGCATTCTGGAGTGATTGTGTGGGGAGCAATCGCTAGGATTTCAGCGGGCCATTCCTTACTTTCAATGCCGACGCGTCCATGAGTCTGTGCCTCAGTCTCAAGGTGTGGAGGCTCTTGACTGGCATCTTTCAGGTCCCTCGAAGAGAAAATGCTTAGGTCTATGTCTACCCGATTTGTCTTAGTGTTGTTTTTTCCTTCTTTTTTTTTTTTCTCTGGGGTGTGTGGGTATTCAGAGACTGCCATGGGCGATCAAATCCACCAGTATCCCTTTCAATAGACTGATATTTGTTATGGAAGAAAACATGCAAGAGTGACTATTGGCAAGGTCTTTGGAGGCCTGTGAGATACAAAAGATGCAAAGGAGACTCCTGTAAGTTCAAGTTCATATGCTCATTTCAATTCCCTTCGCGCAAGAAAAAATGAAAACAAAAAACCTTTGAGAACAAGTTTCCGGGTGCCCAAAAGAGGAGAACAAATGAAAGCTCCGAGTGTCTTCCGGGTGTGTCTAAATCCTCATTTGTCCAAAGCCGGCCTTTTGACATTGTGTGTTTCCTTTGTTTTGTTGCCCTTGTATTTCTAGGCCCCTCGGGCAAGTGAGGCCAAGTGGGTGCAACCCCCATGTCTCTTATCATTATCATGCTGAATGATCTAGAATGCTTAGCTTCCTTTTTTTGACTAGGAATACAACTGTGGATGCAGACTTCTTCATTTTTCCCTTCCCCTACTGATCACCCATGTCTAGGCTTGCATTTGGTTAAGAATATGTGTTATTTTCCCCTGTTGGTTTTAAAGGGTCTGTCACTACTGGAAGTATTTTTTTCCAGGGGACTTGAGCAAATGCAGGTAGGTAGTCTCGCCTTGCTGCATCCCAAAGAAACGGTGGGTTTATTTCACACAGCCGCTGCTTGCCAGGTTCGTTCGTTCTTGGTCGCCAGTCTCGCTCGCTCTCCCCAAGGCTTGCGCGAGAGCTGCTGCTACAAGGTGCCGTGGCGGGGGTAGAGCACGATACAGTTGGAACGTGACAAAACCTCCAAGCATTTGCTGAAATCAATATGTTTCTTGTTCCCCTGTTGGTTTTAAAGGGAAACGATTTCACTACTGGACATATTTGTTATTTTCTCCAGGGGTCTGAACCCCAAAGAATCTGTTTTTGTTTAGCTGCCCAGACGCTCCCGAGTTATTTTCTGGGTGGGTCAATAAGAGTTCAACCGAATATAAGGCATCCCTGTGAAAGTCGTCATAGATGAGGCTGTTCATCGTTGAACATCATAGGATTCTGCGCCCCTCCCCTACGCCCCTATGCCCTTCTGATAGTTCTCGCCAACCACGGCTTCACTTGGGCCGTATGTTGGTCCTATTAAACCGAAAGGGACAAGTCGGATCCCTGGAAATTGGACTTCTTCATCCTGCAGCCATGTCCTTTTTAGGTGAGTGTGGTCAAAAATCGCAGGCACTTCGTTCCATTTACCAGGGCCATCTATTTTGTCACCCTAAACCCTAAACCCTAAAAGGACGTCTGCATGGCTCTGGCTGCATGGCTCGGCCTCGTTTTGTTGCGGCCGCCGCGCCAGGAAGGCCGCGTGGTCAGCAAGCTCCAGCGGGGGGCCCAAGCGAAGTGTCACATCGGACTCAGCCGAGCTGCTAGGTCCGTTCAGCCAGACCAAAGGCTTGCCTGCAACCTTTCGCCCTTTGAGTTTTGCTTCATCTTCCTGAGTAACTTACCTCTTAAAAACCCAACTTTTCAACTTTTTGGGGGTAACATGGGCTATATGTGTGTAAAAGTTTAACTCCCCCAGGGCTTGGAGTTTTAAGGGGTAAGGTAATGGCAAGCTTACTGTAGCTCGCAAACCATTTCACTGGCGGGTTCTCAGAGTGGCATCCTGGGGTCACCAAATTGTCACCCGGAGACATCCCCATCCATGTAAAGTATGGCGGGGAAGCGGGGGCTGTACCGAGCCCAGCTTGAAAATGGGGAGCATGGTTCCTCCTGCGGTATACTCACTTTGCGGGTGCCAGAGGAACACCGATGAACACCGCTCCCACAGGAAACTTATAGAACTTTTTCTAGGGAGCCCCCCCCCAAAACACACCACCCCCCAGAAATGACTTGTCATAGTCTTTCGCAAGGCGGTGTGTGGGTTGGGGGTTCTTTCAGGCGGTGTGAGAAGCAGGCAACATGAGAATAACATGAGGAGGTCGGTCCCTTTGATTCGAGTCCTTTGCCAGTGTCTTTTTGAGGGTACCCGTTGCTTGAAAGGGCAACCAAAGGTAAACCTACCAGTTTAGCGGACCCCTATACTATTAAGACACACCCACATCAACAGGATATTCAGGGATGTCGGTCAAGGTCAAGAACACATTCGTCTGCGAGACAGTGGCTTTGTTGGTTGCCAATCTGGAGGCCTGTCTCAGCTGATGAGTGCAATCTGCCTGCCCCAATGCTTGGCAGCCCCGGTTAAATAGGGTAAACTACCCTTTTGAGGGTAGATTTTGAAACAACATGTCGCTTCAATGGACCAATTTTTAGAGGTGCCCTTTAACCCTCCTCCAAACGAATATGTGTTTTTCATGTTGTCCTATGGATTTAACTAGGTGCCCAGCTAGGTGCCCTTGAACCCGTTTTTTTGGTTGTGAGGGTTCCCCTACTAAGACAGACTACAGAAAAAAGTTGGTACCCTTATTCTAACCTCTCTACTGGAGGACCTACTGTGGACAAAATCCTGCACCACCCAAGAACCCCTAAAATGATGATTCCCCTGCAAATACCAACAAACACTGGTTTCCATGGTTTCAAAGTGGTGCAGGATTTGCGGATTTCTCCACCATCCACAGTAGCGCCAAGCCACTGGCTTGGTTTGTGCCTCAGCTGGCTTCGGTGCCAGGGACCTTCCGCTCAGGTCTGACATCCCGCCCAGCTTCATAGCGGATGCTTTCCGCTCGCGCGGGTGCCTGTCCATCCTGCGTGTTTGGGTTGTCCTTTCTTGGTTTATGCCCAACGGGAAGTCTCCTCATCAGTAAGCAGTTATAAGGTAAACCGGTAAGCTGGCAACAGGGTGGGTGACCCAACTTTTTAGATTGACATGAGGGGGGGACAACCATTCAGCAAAGAAATGCATTTTCTTGTTCAGGGGGAAGAGCCAGGATCATTTTGAGCCTGCTCCCCTTCAAATTAACGTTTAGCCAAAAAGTGGGGTGTTTACCCCCAATGGGGACTCCTCTACAAACGATGCTTTTGGCTTCACCCTCATGCTGGTTCTCAGCGGGGGGAATGACTCCAAACTGATTCACGTCCATCTCAGGGCTTCCTTGAAGTATCAAACTTGCTATATTCCCCGTCATGGGTCAGAATTCCAACTCAGTGGTCCAAGGCGGCTCACGGGTTCTGGAAATCTCAGCTTAGGGTGGTGTCGCCAGCAGCCCAGAACGTCCGAGATGAGCCTCATCCCGGAACCCTCTCCCTGAAATCTGCCCAAAAAAACCAGCCCGTATCGACGATGTTTTGGGCCTAGCGACCCCCAAAACGCTTTCAGGACCAAGTGTTTTACAACAACACTTGATTTGCATCCAGTTGCTTAAGAATATTGGCTAGATTTTCCCTTGTTGGCTGTTTTTAGAGGGAATCTATCACTCATATTGTGATTTTTCCAGGGGGCTTAAGCACATGGACACCCCTAAGATTCCCTTCACTCGAGGCTCGGTACTTTTTTTTTGGGCGTAAGGGGCACCACAGGGCAAAGACCCACAAATCTAGGGGTAACTTCCATTTCCATTCTTTCCAGGGACCCTTCTTTCTAGAAAACCAGCCAAGACCCTGGGGAAACGGATCCAGTTTGTGAAAAGAACGATGGCTGACAAGAATGGAAAAGGAACCAAGCCCTAGAAGCACGGCCCATGCTTTGGAGTGTTTGGCTTTCTTGCTGCTCAGGGAATGTGGGAATGAATTCAGCGGTCCCCTAGGCAACCACCAGTTGGAACCAACCCCTACAAATTCCCGGGTTCCGATTCCCATTTTGAGGCACGGGTTTGCCAAGGCTCATCCTTCCGGTGAAGAAGGCACTGGACATGGGCCTTGCTCCCAACGAGGAGGACCAGATTGCATCAACGTGGGCTTGGAGTGCTTTCCTAGGTCCCCCCGCGATCGGTGCCCTTTTACCGTTACTTTTTTTGGTTGGGAGGGCTCCCCTACGAAAATAGACTACAGAAAAAAAGAGTTGGTACCCTTATTCTAACCTCTCTACTGGAGGACCTAGGTTGGATGTTTCATGATGCTTCCCATTTGTTTTTGATGTGGTGGATGTTTGATGCTCTGGGAAGTAGGTGTTGTTGTGTTTTGGCTTTTTGCCGCTTATATCTTGCATGTTCGTTTGGTTGTGCTTAGCAGTTTGGATTTCGGCTTGTCTGGGCCGCGCGTGTTATTTGTCCGGTTTTGTTTCTCAGAATTAGGATGTTGGATTGAGGCGACCCCTTTTGGCAGTCATATGCCCCTTCAACGATCAGGTCAACATAAGAAGACATGTGACCCAAATGGCCAGATTTGGCTGCCCAGGTGGGAACCGAACTCACCCGGTGAGATTGTTTTTCTTTTTTTTGCCGGGAGTAACTTAGGGGTATACCTTCCATTTCCATTCTTTCCAGAGATCCGGATCTTTCTAGAAAACTCCGGAAACCCAGGGAAAACGGATCTGGTTTTTGGAAAGAACGATGGTTGCAAAGAATGGAAAAGGAACCTTTGGTCCAACCCTGCGTTGCTCAAAATGAATGAGCCGAGGAGGGAAAAGCCCCAGAACCACGCATGCGGCGTAGAAGTTGTACAGTGGAAGCGGGAGATAATTCATCGTTGTTGATTTGACGCCAACGTTAGCCCTTGAGGAGAGCGTGTTGTCGCTAAATGGGTGTGTCTTCTTTGTAGGGGACCCCCCAAAATGGTTTGTTTCCTTTTGGCTGTCCTTTAAAACCACCCAAAAGAGGTATACCCTCAAAAAGACAGACCCAAATGTCGAGCTTTCTCTGGGCAATCGCGTCAAAGAGGCAAGTTGAGCAGCTCCGTCGCTTCCGAAGTTTTTTCAGCTCTGGGTGCGTTGGAGCTTTGCCACGACCGGAACACGGGCCTCGTGCACGGAGTCACTGCGCCACCTGCGGGCACTTTTCTGCTTGTTCGCAAGGCACGGCGGAGACGTTGGGCGCGGGTATCAGGGCTGTTGTGTAAGAAAACGTAGCGCCCCTCGCAAATTAGAGAGCAATTGCAGGAGGCCTTGTAGGAAGTCTTTCGGAGGATCCCTTTTGGTGAAACTGTAGGCTTGTAAGGCTCCAAAACAAAAAAGACTCAGAGAGGTACTGTGGATGGCTGCGAAATCCGCTCGCACCACGTTGAAGCCATGGTTGAAACCGATGTTCGTTGATATTTACCGGGGAATCATCAGAAACCTTTTTTGTTTGGTGGTGTAGGATTTCTTCCATCCACAGTATGGAACCCAAGCTTTCCTATCAAAAGGCGGCGGCAAAGAGACCCTGAGAGGCATGCAGGTAGAGATCAAAAAGGCGCATACAAACAAAGAAGATGGGCGCACCGCCGGCATCAAATTCGAGCTTCCCACCCAGGACGGTTCGGATGTCGCCCTGGCTTGTTGGATGCCAAGTTGAAGCGTGGACAGTGCCCGCATGGGCCCGTTCTGAATCGCCGCCCTCTTTCAAAGTACCTAGATAGCCAAGTGGCTGTTTTTTTTCAGTCGCTGTTGCTGGTTTTTGGGGTAAAGTAGATTCGATGGACAAAAAGCGATCGCAATTGGCGATCCAGGTACCTTGCCTCCCGGTTGGCTAGGTCCCCAGTAGTGCCCTTCTCTGTCCTTTTTTGGTTGGGAGGGTTCCCCTACAAAAATAGACTACAGAAAAAGAGCGGGTACCCTTATTCCAACCTCTCTGCTGGAGGACCGTTGGGTGGTGATTGGAAACCGGTTCTCTGCAGGAGTCAGGTTGCCAGCCTGTAAAGCGTCGGCGCCTTCAGCGTCATGACGCGAGTCAAAGCCTGGGCGACATTTGCAAAGACGAGGGCCGGGAAGGCGACAACTTTTGGCTGAAGGTCAAGATGCAGGTAAAGGAAGAATCTCAGCCGCGCAAAGCCCGACGTGTTTGCTTATTCGCCTTGGTTGAATCACGATTTTCCCATCGGTTTCTCTGGTTTCCGAGGCTGGGTCATGATTTGTTTTTGGCCCGGTTCCTATTCCTGTCATTCCGTGTTCCCCGTGGTTCCTGGCCACTCGCGAGCTCCGGGCATCAGGAAGTCGAAGCCATGGATACGGAGCGGAAGGCAGGGCAATCGACATGGCTGGGAAAGGCTCCCATCCATCCGGTTCCTTGGCTTTGTAGCCTTTTAGTGTGTTGAGTGGAGGTTTCCATTTGACTCACTACAAGTTAAACTCTAAGAAGGGGATCTGAGGGCAGCCCAGAGTTTAGTTTTAATCTAGGTTTCTCAGTAGTGCAAGCCTTTACCCCTTTTTTGGTTGCGAGGGTTCCCCTACAATCGACTACAGAAGAAAAAGGTACCCTTATTCTACCCTCCCGACTGGAGGACCTAGTAATTTTAGTGGTAAATAAAGAGTTCATGCACTTCTGTGGGCCATCCACTCAGGAAGTCAGAAGAGGCTCGCTTGTGGTTGGTTTCAATGGAAACTAGCCGCTGAAACAATCCCATGTATGGAGCCGTAATGCAACGCAGGCAGTGGGCAATGCGCGTTGCACACACACACACTTGCGAAAGCTTCTTCGGCTGTTGTCCGGTGGAGTTCAAGGCCAGTTGAACGTGACAGTGGAGTCAGTTTGTTCTGCGTGGCAGACTGCTAGTTATTGGTTGGACTTGTGCTGCTAGAGGCAACGGCATTTGGAGATGCGCGCATGCTATTTTCAGTCTTTGGACTGCCAGGCACGGTCCACCCGGCAATTGCGTTAGCTCTTCTATGTTGGATGATTGGAGTGTTTCCATCTTTTGCTTGGTGGTTCCCAGCCATCCGGTTCCTTAGTTCTTTTTGTGTGTGGCTTTTTAGTGTTTAGTGGGATTTGATCAGTCCAGCCGCTAAAGTCGGGGGATCTGAAAACGGACAGCCCAGTTGTCAAGCACCCTTGGTGCCAATGTGCTCACACTCGCCAGGTGAAAACCGAGTCTTCCTTTTCGACCACAGCCGGAGACGACGGCAAGAGCATGAAGCGCCAGCCGAGAGTTAAGGTGGAGCAGAGGCAGTCAGACGAAAAGGCCGCCATGGTGAAAGCAAAGCCAGTGCTTCTGGAGGAGAATCCCGGTTGGCCGGTTGAAGCTTTTTCTCTGTTTCACGATGTTTGGGTGGAAGCTTTTACGTTTGTATATATTTTTTCTGGCTTTTGGGTGGGATCAACAACTTGAACCTTCGCCCGCGACACTCGGGTACGTTCTGCGTCCTTTTGGGAACCCACTCGGCAGTAAGGACTGTCTGCCAGTTGCCCCTCCCAACTGGGCATGGCCTCACTGATTTTGACAACAAGATGACCGTGTGGGCGCGTCAGTGTGCGGAGTTCCGCAGAAAGTCAACTTGGATGCCCTCAAGGCCGGTGCTGGTGACCAAAAGGCAATGGGGCGAAGGCGCAGTTGGTTGCAAAGTACCCGGACATTTCACGCATGGTAATTCCTTCGTCGTGCTGGGTCAATTGCATACAACGATTCTTTCATGTTGAGGAAGGTCTGCAGAAAAGAAAAACCACAATAATAATAACAACCAGGGTGTACTACAAAAATCGTTACATCAACAGTGTCACCCCGCCATGTCCGTTGGGAGGCCCTGCTGCCCGGCAAGCCTTTTCTTCAGCTCCCCCATCGTGCCGGGAAAGAAGGATCCGCCCTGCGTGCGGCGCTTGTCCCAGAAGGAGCTGTGCTGCCTGCGGCGCTTCTTCGAACGTGGGCATCCCATCTTCGCCGCGCCACTGCCAGCCTCTGATCCGATGACTAAGCCTTCGGCGCGTTGGGATCTCAGATGGGGCAGTTTTGTCCACTCATGCATTGGGTGCTAAGAGGCTAGGGTCAGATCGCCGGTTTGCCCGCGAGAAGGGGCCCCTCTCAGAATGTGTTCAAATGGGAGCCAAGGCGAAACCAAGAGTTGTTTTAGAGATTCTTCTGCTGCAAGCGTCCATTGCGCCTGTTTGTTCCGGGTTGCTGCTTTGTCAGCATTGATTTGGTGAGGTGCTGCGGCAACCACCACGCAAGAGGAGGCAGGCTTGCCGGCCAGCGGCGCGGCATGCATGAAGATGTGGCCGTGGATGCGAGATCTGCCCCGCAGCATTTGGGCCGGTCGCGGCTTGGCCTACGATGTGCAGAGCGGCTTGCGGCGCTTGTCCTCTGCTTGCGGCGGTGCAGCAGCCATGCACGGCGTCCAGATCTGGGAGTCTGTAGGAGCTGGGCAGCCGGCTGCAGCTGACCCGAGTCCTGATACGGGAGCTGCACCTGGCCAGGGTGCGAGTTTGCTGGCCCCAAGCCAAGTGAAGCCTGCGCGGGTTCTGTCCAAGCAGCAGGCCAAGCAGAGTGGGATTCCTGGCATCATTTGGGTGTCAAGCACCTTTAGTTGGCAGCTTCGATGGGCAGAGAAGGTCGAAGGCAGCAACACGCGACAAAGCCACTTGACTGCTATTGGGTTGGATCTTTAGACTTGAACTTTTTGGGAGATAAAGGTGTTTTCTACTACCCCCAAAAAGTTAAGCTTTTTGCAGGGGGGGTCGTTGCAGCAACCAAGGCCGAGTCTTCGGCATCAGCCGCTTCATGAAGGATGGTCTCAACGAGGCGGAAGCCGAGGCCGCCGCCCTGGAGGCCGCCAAGGCCTTCCGCGCGCAGCTGGTGGCCCAGGGCCGCATCAAGGAGAAGCTCCGGGACGAGAGCCTCACCTCCGACGTGCCCGGGGTGCACTATCAGCCGGGCAGCAAGAAGTGGCAGGTCCGGATCTCCCGGCCGAACGGCAAGAAGCTCGAGGGCGGCTACTTCGCGCAGAAGGCTTCAGCGGAGGCGCGGGCCCTGGAGCTGCGGGAGCTCCACGGGCTGCAGCGCACCGTGAGGCGCTGCGCTAGGCGTGCGGAGCTGGCGGCGGTTCAGCCCAAGGTGCCGTACCTGGGCGTCGCCTGGCATTTGCGAAGTCAAAGCTGGCAGGCGCGGACTTCAGGCCACACCAAGAAGCCTCTCACTTGCCCAGTGGTGCCCGTTTTTCCTTTTTTTGGTCAGGGCTCCCCTTAAAACTCAACCAACCAAAAAAAATGGTGCCCTTTTTTCCCCGTGGAAATCCACTGGGCATCTGAGGTCTTGTTCGTTCAAGCCCCTGGACCACTCGGAGGCGGAGGTGGAGAAGGCCTTTGCCCAAGCTGTGGAATGGCTCAAGGAGCAGAAAGTCCAAGCCACAGAAAGTGCCGTGGCAGCAGCGAAGGGCAAGGTTGGCAAGAAGGGAGGGAGCAAGGGCTGAGGAAGAACCGCGCAAGCGGATGCGCATTGGCTGTGAGAGGGCACTGCGCTCTGCAATTCAGCAGGTCGACCTGTTCTTGTTGTTTGTGATGTAGCTGCGGGGCTAGCCGAGTCATTCTTTGAGAACGGCCTGCTTCCCGAATCCAGACGACGGTGGAAGTTGAGCAAACTTCTTTTGTAGTGGCTCACTCTTGGACCACTTTGGCTGCTCAGGGTTAGGGTTCTTAGCATGCACGTGTGATTGCTCATGCGCTTCTAGGAAAAAGGGCCTGCGCCCCTTTGCTGCAGAAAGGTGCGCCCCGAGCCACAAAAAAATTAGGGGCCCGAAATCTCCACTCAATCGCATGTTTCAGGGGAAGGGAAGACTACTTGCAAGGGGTCCAAAAATTACATGTCGATTCTTTGCGGGCGACGAGCTGTTGGTCCAAGTGGGGTTGAAAAATCAACGGGATCAGGAGCTGTGCGCCCAGCATCATGTGGATCCCGCCTCCGTCCCCGCGGCGGCTTTGTCCGCCAGGCCGGTGACAGTTCCACCCACTTAACTTACTCTCCCACCAGTCAAAACATGGAACCCGACCGGGGGTCCGTTTTGAAAGGACACTGGTGCAAAATCTGTTTGGACCAGTCCCCCCATAAAGTGCGTTGTGAGCAAAGAAAGCACCATGTCAGCCCTCTTTGGGCGCGATTTAACGTCTTTGGGGCTGGGAACTCGCGAGAGGCTTCGATCGAATCGTCGGCTCATGGACTCGCAGGGCCGAGGCCGAGGCACCGGTGCCGCGGGTCCAGGACGGCCCGAAGCAACGTGGGTGGGTGGTCGGCTTTCATTTGGGGAGGGGAGGGAAAGGAAAGGTAGGGTCATTACCCAAAATAATGGGGTGGACCCATTTTTAATGGAGACTCCAGGATGATTTATTTGTCCATGTTGGTTTTCAGGACCTTCCCCCGAAGCAAGTCGTGGTTGGCTTCCATTTGCTAAGAACTTTTATGTTTCCATGTTGGTTTTAGAGGGAATCTATCACTGTTGAGTTTGTCCACGGAGGTTCTGGTTTCGCCAGCGCAACCAGCCATGTTGGTTGGTCTCACTTGCAAGCCAAAGAGTAGCGACCGGTGAACACGTTTTGTTTCGCAATATAGTCCACAGTGTGGCAAGGTTCCAGGAGGTTAGCCTTCCTCCCACTAACGTAGCACCTGTGGGAGGGTACTTGGAAATCAAGTTCCTCAAGGGATACCCTGTCAGGCGCCATGGCAAAGTGGGAGTGGGGGTAACCATATAATGTCCATTTCCTTTGGGCCAGCAGGCGGCGGAAGGGCGAACACGTGGAAATAGAAATAGCCCTTTCAAGTACGTGGTGGGAGGGTGAAGGTGCCCTGCTCTTGCGGATGCTTCCCTGCAAATGTACTCGGAAAAAGGAGCGGAGTTTCCTTGGGAGGTTCCGGCTTCTATTTATCTTTGGTGCCTTTTGCAAAGGGATGTTAGGATTTTAACTTTTTGCCAAAGGGGTTTTCCGTATTTTTAACTTTTAGCAGGGGAGCAGTGAGCAACCAAGTTACCACCATTAAAGAATTTCCAAATTTACCATGAACCCATTTGCCACGAATCCAGCTCGTGAACTTGAGAGTCTGGTGGTCCATTGATTGGTAGGGTGCTCCTGGTCAAATCCGAAGCTGACACTACTTCCCAAGTTTCTGGTTCCTTGATGCTTTTTTTCCGGGCGTAAGAATTAATCCGAAGTTAGCATCAATTTGACAGGAGTGTATTATAAGGACGGCTTGGGGAATCAGAATACAAGTATGGGCTGCTTCGAAACAGCATGTAGTCATGATTGTAGTCCAGCAAACGGATTGGATACGCTTTCTGTGGTTTCCCCATGTTGTTTGCCAGCTGTTCCTCTTTAGATATGTATCTTGGTGGCTCCCAGCCATTTCCTTAGCTTTTCAAGTGGGGTTTTCCATTTGACCCACTGAAAGTTAAACTTTTAGCGGGGGATCTGAGGACAGCCCAGGTATGCATTTAGTATCATTTAGTACTCTTCTGCCATCCTACAGGGGTGGATCCACAGGAAACACCTCCAAACATAGGTGTCCTTTTTGGTTGGTTTGAGAAGAAAATAGAGGACCCTAGTTTAGAAGGGGTTTATTCCATTTACCAGGGCCATCTATTTTTCCAAAAGACCACCTATGCCTCCAAACGGTTTCCCAGATGTAGGGTCCCCCTTGCGGTAGCCCGGTAGCCCCCTTTGCTGGAGGACGCGAAGCCGCGAGCGGGCTTCGAAGCGTCGCATCGCTTCACAGGCGCAACGGCGAGTTGCGTCTACTGTGCAGCACTGTGGGGGTCGCCAAAACCACTTTTTTGGGCCACTCCCATATCGCTGTGGGTCAAACACAATGGCACCATTTTGGGGGCAGGTGCACCACCCATTTTACTTTATTTGAGTGGGGATTGGGATGCTCACTGGGGGTACGGAATTTTGACCCATGGCCATATGGCTAAAAAGTCCGCTGGCGAGCTCTGGGGGCGCGGCCAGCCCATCATCCACTGGGGCTGTGCTCGAAGCGGCGCCATGTACAGGAGTGTTCATGGTTGTTGTTGGGAAACATGTTACATGTTTGCTTATTGTAGTTTAGTGGGAAATCCCCACTTAACTGATACAAAATAAATTTTCAGCTCCCCTTCCAACGTCAACCAAGTGTTGTTGACAAAAGGATTCTGCTGAATTGCCCATTGATATTTGTTGTATCTGCGCATATCTGCGCAGCATAGGAGGATCGAACAAGTCGAGAACAGTTCCACACCGAACTGCGTTACCTCGTTGTCCACTAAGACGGAACCTGAACGGAGTCCGGAAGACCCCTGTCAGGTTGCATGGTGGTGATTGGGAGGGCACCCAGCAGGACATGTTGGAGCGGGGTCTCTGCCCGGTTGAGCGAGAAGAGGTGTTGGGAAATACTCGCTCCGCAGTTCCTGAACTTTCGCAACTTCTTGGGGTTTGGAGCATTGTAATGATAACCAGAAAGTTTGGTTACCCTTCCGGCCAATCCACTCAGAAAGTGCGAAATACATGTTTGGGTTCTTATGATGCATTATGATTCTAGGGGTAGATTTCCCATTCTTTTCAAGCATCGTTCTTTCAAAAACCAGCTGTTTCCCCTAGGGTTCTGATGGTTTTCTGGAAAGAAGGATCCCCGGAAAGAGTGGGGCAGTGTGACCTATGCATATGTTGCCCTGGGATGCGGCAGGCGCACGGCCCAACGCGGTCTTCAAACTGGGCCACCTGGGCCTCGGATACTACCATGAGGCGGCTTCTGGAATTGACGCCGACGGCCCGGGGCCAAGAGCCCGACGTGCCAAAGTGAAGCGGATAGAATCTGAGTGCTTCACTAGGCTCCTTGGAACTACCACTTGAGCCACAATCAAAGCCCGAGTACGTGAAGGAGAGCGAGGCACAGTTTTAGGGATTGTCGCCCTAGATTTGCGGCCAATTTACGGGTTTTTCAGCCCATCTAGGTCCCCCAGCTAGGTTACCCCTTTGTTGGTTGGGAGGGTTTCCCTACTAAAATAGACTGCAGAATAAAAAGTATCCTTATTCTAACCTCTCAAATATGGAGGACCTCGGCTTCATGGCACTTGTGAAAAAAGTAAAAAGACTTTGCCGCTTCCTCGAAACCCGGAGCCTTTGAGACGTTTCGAATGGCTTTGCGGAGATCTGCTTGGATTCTTTCATCGCGCTCCACAAACAACGCCTGCTTTTCTGTGCATCCTAACTCACTTCCTGAGTGGGCTGCCCAAAAAGCAGCCACACTTTGAATGGACCACTAGAATGGTCCAAGCCCCAAAGGTGACTACAGTCAATGAACTCAGGGAGTGAGGTAAGAGTGACTATTAGTTAGTGAGCATTGGGAGCCGTGAAAGACCAATCAACGGAGTTTTGGGCTTTCACGAGGACGAGGGGAGGGAGCCTGGGCCAAGGTAGCTGGGAGGCACTCCTGTCAGCCGGGGGCCCAGGCGAGTGTCTGAAGTTTTTCAGTTCGCCACCTGCCTTTGGGTTCGGACCGCTGAAAAATTGCAAATTGGGCCATTTGCATCCACAGGGGTGCAAATGTTTGTGGGGGGTTGACTCCAGTCGGAAAGCCACCAAGCACCAAAGGTATTGAAGGGTGCAAGCTAAGCAAAGTATCCCAGGATGTTGCATTTCCCTCAGGGTATGCATGTCCAGGTGCTAAATAGTCCGCAATCCGTAAGTTTCCCAAAGGCAAAAACAACAGCTAAGCCCCTCATGTTTTAATGCCTGTTTTGATCCTGGGTCTGGGTGCGAAATACCTTGCAAATTCCATTCTGTTCAAAGGGCAACTGACAGAGGATTACCCTCCATTCCACTTCATGGAGCCCCCCGCCATTTCCTTTTGAAGGAACATAGTCTAAGACGCCTCGGTCAGGTTCTACTGTGGATACTTGCTGGTTCGCAGCCATCCTTTCAGCTTTTTAGCTTTTTAGGGTTTCGTGGTACTTCTCGCTAAACCACCAAAAGATATACTTTTAGTAGGGGATTTGGGAACAGGAAGGCACCTGGAACGCCAGTTGCTGCTTTTTTTCCGTCTACTTTACCCTAAAAACCAGCAACAGTGACCGAACTAAAAGCAAGTTAGCTATCTAGGTGGTATTTTGTAGATCTTCCAGTCCGGTTTAGGGGTCCCCTCGTGGATTCGTACCATGCGGCGTACGCCCAAGGCGCCTCTGCAGGCAGAGGCTGGCCCCGCCTTTGCCGCGCACCCAGACTCGGTACTCGGACGGCTCGGCTGGCGAGCAAACGGGCGGCCAAGCGGGCTGGGCAGTTTTGGTGCACGGCAAGGGCTGCCTTAAAGATTGGGGCGTGTTTTTTTGGGTCCCTATGCGGCGGGAGTGGTTATATAGAAAAAAAACAAAAAAAGAAGTCAGGCATGTTTGAGCTGTTTTTGAGAGACACCCATTTTGTTCTTTCACTCTTAAATGTCCTTTCAGAAATA